CAGACAGAGACACACACAGAGACACACACAGAGACACAGACAGAGACACAGACAGAGACACAGACAGAGACACAGACAGAGACACAGACAGAGACACACACAGAGACACAGACAGAGACACAGACAGAGACACACACAGAGACACAGACAGAGACACACACAGAGACACAGACAGAGACACACACAGAGACACAGACAGAGACACAGACAGAGACACAGACAGAGACACACACAGAGACACAGACAGAGACACAGACAGAGAGACAGACAGAGACACAGACAGAGACACAGACAGAGACACACACAGAGACACAGACAGAGACACAGACAGAGACACAGACAGAGACACACACAGAGACACACACAGAGACACAGACAGAGACACAGACAGAGACACAGACAGAGACACAGACAGAGACACAGACAGAGACACACACAGAGACACAGACAGAGACACAGACAGAGACACAGACAGAGACACACACAGAGACACACACAGAGACACAGACAGAGACACAGACAGAGACACAGACAGAGACACAGACAGAGACACAGAGACAGAGACACAGACAGAGACACAGACAGAGACACAGACAGAGACACAGACAGAGACACAGACAGAGACACACACAGAGACACAGACAGAGACACAGACAGAGACACACACAGAGACACAGACAGAGACACAGACAGAGACACAGACAGAGACACAGACAGAGACACAGACAGAGACACACACAGAGACACAGACAGAGACACAGACAGAGACACACACAGAGACACAGAGACAGAGACACAGACAGAGACACAGACAGAGACACAGACAGAGACAGAGACAGAGACACAGACAGAGACACAGACAGAGACACAGACAGAGACACAGACAGAGACACAGACAGAGACACAGACAGAGACACAGACAGAGACACACACAGAGACACAGACAGAGACACAGACAGAGACACACACAGAGACACAGAGACAGAGACACAGACAGAGACACAGACAGAGACAGAGACAGAGACACAGACAGACACACAGACAGAGACACAGACAGAGACACAGACAGAGACAGAGACAAAGACACAGACAGAGACACAGACAGAGACACAGACAGAGACACAGACAGAGACACACACAGAGACAGAGACAGAGACAAAGACACAGACAGAGACACAGACAGAGACAGGTGAAGTCTGAAAAGAACAGACTAAAGAATGTCTCGTGTCACACCTGGTTCTCTGATTACAGACTTCACTCTTTTTACTTTTACACAGACTTCTGCAGACGCTGCAGGACTGAGACTGAGACTGAGACTGAGACTGAGTCTCGACTCTCTGGTCCCTCTCTGGTCTCTCTCTCTGGTCTCTCTCTCTCTAGTCTCTCTCTCTGGTCTCTCTCTCTGGTCTCTCTCTGGTCTCTCTCTGGTCTCTCCCTGGTCTCTCTCTCTGGTCTCTCTCTCTGGTCTCTCTCTGGTCTCTCTCTCTGGTCTCTCTCTCTGGTCTCTCTCTAGTCTCTCTCTCTGGTCTCTCTCTCTGGTCTCTCTCTAGTCTCTCTCTCTGGTCTCTCTCTAGTCTCTCTCTCTGGTCTCTCTCTCTGGTCTCTCTCTCTGGTCCCTCTCTCTGGTCTCTCTCTCTGGTCTCTCTCTCTGGTCTCTCTCTCTGGTCTCTCTCTCTAGTCTCTCTCTCTAGTCTCTCTCTCTGGTCTCTCCCTCTGGTCTCTCTCTCTGGTCTCTCTCTCTGGTCTCTCTCTCTGGTCTCTCTCTGGTCTCTCTCGCTGGTCTCTCTCGCTGGTCTCTCTCGCTGGTCTCTCTCTCTGGTCTCTCTCTCTGGTCCCTCTCTCTGGTCTCTCTCTCTGGTCTCTGTCTCTGGTCTCTCTCTTTGGTGTCTCTCTCTGGTCTCTCTCTCTTGTCACTCTCTGGTCTCTCTCTGGTCTCTCTCTGGTCTCTCTCTCTGGTCTCTCTCTGGTCTCTCTCTCTGGTCTCTCTCTCTGGTCTCTCTCTTTGGTCTCTCTCGCTGGTCTCTCTCTCTGGTCTCTCTCTCTCTGGTGTCTCTCTCTGGTCTCTCTCTCTGGTCTCTCTCTCTGGTCTCTCTCTGGTCTCTCTCGCTGGTCTCTCTCTCTAGTCTCTCTCTCTAGTCTCTCTCTCTGGTCTCTCCCTCTGGTCTCTCTCTCTAGTCTCTCTCTCTAGTCTCTCTCTCTGGTCTCTCCCTCTGGTCTCTCTCTCTGGTCTCTCTCTCTGGTCTCTCTCTGGTCTCTCTCTAGTCTCTCTCGCTGGTCTCTCTCTCTGGTCTCTCTCTCTGGTCCCTCTCTCTGGTCTCTCTCTCTGGTCTCTCTCTCTGGTCTCTCTCTCTGGTCTCTCTCTCTGGTCTCTCTCTCTGGTGTCTCTCTCTGGTCTCTCTCTCTGGTCTCTCTCTCTGGTCCCTCTCTGGTCTCTCTCTGGTCTCTCTCTGGTCTCTCTCTGGTCTCTCTCTTTGGTCTCTCTCGCTGGTCTCTCTCTCTGGTCTCTCTCTCTCTGGTGTCTCTCTCTGGTCTCTCTCTGGTCTCTCTCTCTGGTCTCTCTCTCTGGTCTCTCTCTCTGGTCTCTCTCTGGTCTCTCTCGCTGGTCTCTCTCTCTGGTCTCTCTCTCTGGTCTCTCTCTGGTCTCTCTCTAGTCTCTCTCGCTGGTCTCTCTCTCTGGTCTCTCTCTGGTCTCTCTCTCTGGTCTCTCTCTGGTCTCTAGTCTCTCTCACTGGTCTCTCTCACTGGTCTCTCTCTCTGGTCTCTCTCTCTGGTCTCTCTCTCTGGTCTCTCTCTCTGGTCTCTCTCTCTGGTCTCTCTCTCTGGTCTCTCTCTCTGGTCTCTCTCTGGTCTCTCTCTCTGGTGTCTCTCTCTGGTCTCTCTCTCTGGTCTCTCTCTCTGGTCTCTCGCTGGTCTCTCTCTGGTGTCTCTCTCTGGTGTCTCCCTCTGGTCTCTCTCTCTGGTCTCTCTCTGGTCTCTCTCTGGTGTCTCCCTCTGGTCTCTCTCTCTGGTCTCTCTCTCTCTGGTGTCTCTCTCTGGTCTCTCTCTGGTCTCTCTCTGGTGTCTCTCTCTGGTCTCTCTCTCTGATCTCTCTCTGGTCTCTCTCTCTGGTCTCTCTCTAGTCTCTCTCTGGTCTCTCTCTCTGATCTCTCTCTGGTCTCTCTCTCTGGTCTCTCTCTGGTCTCTCTCTAGTCTCTCTCGCTGGTCTCTCTCTCTGGTCTCTCTCTCTGGTGTCTCTCTCTGGTCTCTCTTTCTGGTCTCTCTCTCTGGTGTCTCTCTCTGGTCTCTCTCTGGTCTCTCTCTGGTGTCTCCCTCTGGTCTCTCTCTCTGGTCTCTCTCTCTCTGGTGTCTCTCTCTGGTCTCTCTCTGGTCTCTCTCTCTGGTCTCTCTCTCTGGTCTCTCTCTGGTCTCTCTCTAGTCTCTCTCGCTGGTCTCTCTCTCTGGTCTCTCTCTCTGGTCCCTCTCTCTGGTCTCTCTCTCTGGTCTCTCTCTCTGGTCTCTCTCTCTGGTCTCTCTCTCTGGTCTCTCTCTCTGGTCTCTCTCTTTGGTGTCTCTCTCTGGTCTCTCTCTCTGGTCCCTCTCTGGTCTCTCTCTGGTCTCTCTCTGGTCTCTCTCTCTGGTCTCTCTCTGGTCTCTCTCTTTGGTCTCTCTCGCTGGTCTCTCTCTCTGGTCTCTCTCTCTGGTCTCTCTCTCTGGTCTCTCTCTCTGGTGTCTCTCTCTGGTCTCTCTCTGGTCTCTCTCTGGTGTCTCCCTCTGGTCTCTCTCTGGTCTCTCTCTCTCTGGTGTCTCTCTCTGGTCTCTCTCTGGTCTCTCTCTCTGGTCTCTCTCTGTGTCTCTCTCTGGTCTCTCTCTCTGATCTCTCTCTGGTCTCTCTCTCTGGTCTCTCTCTGGTCTCTCTCTGGTCTCTCTCTGGTGTCTCTCTCTGGTCTCTCTCTGGTCTCTCTCTCTGTTCTCTCTCTCTGGTCTCTCTCTCTGGTCTCTTTCTCTCTGGTGTCTCTCTCTGGTCTCTCTCTGGTCTCTCTCTGGTCTCTCTCTGGTGTCTCTCTCTGGTCTCTCTCTCTGATCTCTCTCTGGTCTCTCTCTCTGGTCTCTCTCTCTCTGGTGTCTCTCTCTGGTCTCTCTCTGGTCTCTCTCTGGTCTCTCTCTGGTGTCTCTCTCTGGTCTCTCTCTCTGATCTCTCTCTGGTCTCTCTCTCTGGTCTCTCTCTGGTCTCTCTCTGGTGTCTCTCTCTGGTCTCTCTCTGGTCTCTCTCTCTGTTCTCTCTCTCTGGTCTCTCTCTCTGTTCTCTCTCTCTGGTCTCTCTCTCTGGTCTCTCTCTCTGGTGTCTCCCTCTGGTCTCTCTCTCTCTGGTGTCTCTCTCTGGTCTCTCTCTGGTCTCTCTCTGGTGTCTCTCTCTGGTCTCTCTCTCTGATCTCTCTCTGGTCTCTCTCTCTGGTCTCTCTCTGGTCTCTCTCTGGTGTCTCTCTCTGGTCTCTCTCTGGTCTCTCTCTGGTCTCTCTCTGGTCTCTCTCTCTGTTCTCTCTCTCTGGTCTCTCTCTCTGGTCTCTCTCTCTGGTCTCTCTCTCTGGTGTCTCTCTCTGGTCTCTCTCTGGTCTCTCTCTGGTGTCTCCCTCTGGTCTCTCTCTCTGGTCTCTCTCTCTCTGGTGTCTCTCTCTGGTCTCTCTCTGGTCTCTCTCTGGTCTCTCTCTGGTGTCTCTCTCTGGTCTCTCTCTCTGATCTCTCTCTGGTCTCTCTCTCTGGTCTCTCTCTGGTCTCTCTCTGGTGTCTCTCTCTCTGGTCTCTCTCTGGTCTCTCTCTCTGGTCTCTCTCTGGTCTCTCTCTGGTCTCTCTCTGGTGTCTCTCTCTCTGGTCTCTCTCTGGTCTCTCGCTGGTCTCTCTCTCTGGTGTCTCTCTCTCTGGTCTCTCTCTGGTCTCTCTCTCTGGTCTCTCTCTGGTCTCTCTCTGGTCTCTCTCTCTGGTCTCTCTCTCTGGTCTCTCTCTCTGGTCTCTCTCTCTGGTCTCTCTCTCTGGTCTCTCTCTCTGGTCTCTCTCTCTGGTCTCTCTCTCTGGTCTCTCTCGTCTCTGGTTTCCGCTTCACTGCTGTGAATCTAAAGTCATCAGGGTCAAACAGCGACTCGTTCTGTATCAAATATTTACAGTTGTGCGTCTGGAGGAGGAGGGGCCGAGGGGGGGTCTCTCACTTCACCGACACACACTGCGCCCTGGTGCCCAGGACGGCAACACAATCGCTACACAACCACTACAGCCACTACGCAGTCACTACAGTCACTACACAATAACACAGTCACTACACAATCACTACAGTCACTACACAATCACTACAGTCACTACACAATCACTACAGTCACTACACAATCACTACAGTCACTACACAATCACTACAGTCACTACACATCATACAGTCACTACACAATCACTACAGTCACTACACAATCACTACAGTCACTACACAATCACTACAGTCACTACACAATCACTACACAATCACACAGTCACACACAATCACTACAGTCACTACACAATCACTACAGTCACTACACACTACATCACTACACAATCACTACACAATCACACAATCACTACACAATCACTACAGTACTACACAATCACTACAGTCACTACACAATCACTACAGTCACTACACAATCACAATCACACAGTCACTACACAATCACTACAGTCACTACACAATCACTACAGTCACTACACAATCACTACACAATCACACAGTCACTACACAATCACTACAGTCACTACACAATCACTACAGTCACTACACAATCACTACAGTCACTACACAATCACTACAGTCACTACACAATCACACAGTCACTACACAATCACTACAGTCACTACACAATCTACACAATCACTACAGTCACTACACAATCACTACAGTCACTACACAATCACTACAGTCACTACACAATCACTACAGTCACTACACAATCACACAGTCACTACACAATCACTACAGTCACTACACAATCTACACAATCACTACAGTCACTACACAATCACTACAGTCACTACACAATCACTACAGTCACTACACAATCACTACAGTCACTACACAATCACTACAGTCACTACACAATCACACGTCGCACACACTGCATCAGACTCATGTGTTAATAATAAAGAGAATAAAGTGAAATGAATGAGAAAACAGACTGTAACTCCATGCGCCGCCACCAGAGGGAGACCACAGAGACCACAGAGAGACCACAGAGACCACAGAGAGACCACAGAGACCACAGAGACCACAGAGAGCACAGAGAGACCACAGAGACCACAGAGAGACCACAGAGACCACAGAGACCACAGAGAGCACAGAGAGACCACAGAGACCACAGAGAGACCACAGAGACCACAGAGAGACCACAGAGACCACAGAGACCACAGAGAGCACAGAGAGACCACAGAGACCACAGAGAGACCACAGAGACCACAGAGACCACAGAGAGCACAGAGAGACCACAGAGACCACAGAGAGACCACAGAGACCACAGAGACCACAGAGAGACCACAGAGACCACAGAGACCACAGAGAGACCACAGAGAGACTACAGAGAGACCACAGAGACCGCAGAGAGACCACAGAGACCGCAGAGAGACCACAGAGACCGCAGAGAGACCACAGAGACCACAGAGACCACAGAGACCACAGAGAGCACAGAGAGACCACAGAGACCACAGAGAGACCACAGAGACCACAGAGACCACAGAGAGACCACAGAGACCACAGAGACCACAGAGAGACCACAGAGAGACTACAGAGAGACCACAGAGACCGCAGAGAGACCACAGAGACCGCAGAGAGACCACAGAGACCGCAGAGAGACCACAGAGACCACAGAGACCGCAGAGACCACAAAGAGACCACAGAGACCACAGAGACCGCAGAGAGACCACAGTGACCACAGAGACCACAGAGACCGCAGAGAGACCACAGTGACCACAGAGACCGCAGAGAGACCACAGAGACCGCAGAGAGACCACAGAGACCACAGAGACCACAGAGACCACAGAGACCACAGAGAGACCACAGTGACCACAGAGACCGCAGAGAGACCACAGAGACCGCAGAGAGACCACAGAGACCGCAGAGAGACCACAGAGACCGCAGAGAGACCACAGAGAGACCACAGAGACCACAGAGACCACAGAGACCGCAGAGAGACCACAGAGACCGCAGAGAGACCACAGAGACCACAGAGACCGCAGAGACCACAGAGAGACCACTGAGACCACAGAGACCACAGAGAGACCACAGAGACCACAGAGAGACCACAGAGACCACAGAGACCGTGTGTGTGTGTGTGTATATATGTGTATGTGTGTGTGTATGTGTATGTGTATGTGTGTGTGTGTGTGTGTGTGTCTATGTGTATGTGTGTGTGTGTGTGTGTCTATGTGTGTGTGTGTGTGTGTATATATGTGTATGTGTGTGTGTGTGTGTATATATGTGTATGTGTATGTGTGTATATATGTGTATGTGTATGTGTGTATATATGTGTATGTGTATGTGTGTATATATGTGTATGTGTATGTGTATGTGTATGTGTATGTGTATGTGTATGTGTATGTGTATGTGTGTGTGTGTGTGTGTGTGTGTGTGTGTGTGTGTGTGTGTGTGTGTGTGTGTGTGTGTGTGTGTGTGTGTGTGTGTGTGTGTGTGTATGTGTGTGTGTGTATATGTGTGTGTGTGTGTCTCCCTCAGAGATGGAGAAAATATAAATTATTCATGGTTTGCTGTCGTCGAGACATTTGCACAAAACATCAGCTTCTACTTTGGCCCCGATTATGATTGGATGAAGAACGACTCAGATTAACTCCTGATCCTCCGCCCTCTCTCGCCCTCTCTCGCCCTCTCTCGCCCTCTCGCCGCCCTCTCTCGCCCTCTCTCGCCCTCTCTCGCCCTCTCGCCGCCATCTCTCGCCCTCTCTCGCCCTCTCGCCGCCCTCTCTCGCCCTCTTGCCGCCCTCTCTCGCCCTCTCGCTGCCCTCTCGCCGCCCTCTCTCGCCCTCTCGCTGCCCTCTCGCCGGCCTCTCGCCCTCTCTTGCCCTCTCTCGCCCTCTCTCGCCCTCTCTCGCCCTCTCGCCGCCCTCTCTCGCCCTCTTGCCGCCCTCTCTCGCCCTCTCGCTGCCCTCTCGCCGGCCTCTCGCCCTCTCTTGCCCTCTCTCGCCCTCTCTTGCCCTCTCTCGCCCTCTCTCGCCCTCTCTCGCCCTCTCGCCGCCCTCTCTCGCCCTCTTGCTCGCCCTCTCTCGCCCTCTCGCTGCCCTCTCGCCGGCCTCTCGCCCTCTCTTGCCCTCTCTCGCCCTCTCTTGCCCTCTCTTGCCCTCTCTCGCCCTCTCTCGCCCTCTCTTGCCCTCTCTCGCCCTCTCGCCGCCCTCTCTCGCCCTCTCGCCGCCCTCTCGCCGCCCTCTCTCGCCCCTCTCGCCGCCCTCTCTCGCCCTCTCGCCGCCCTCTCTCGCCCTCTCTCGCCCTCTCGCCGCCCTCTCTTGCCCTCTCTCGCCCTCTCTCGCCGTGTCTCACCCTCTCTCGCCCTCTCTCGCCGTGTCTCACCCTCTCTCGCCCTCTCTCGCCCTCTCTCGCCGCCCCTCGCCGCCCCTCGCCCTCTCTCGCCGTGTCTCGCTGCCCCTCGCCGTGTCTCGCCCTCTCTCGCCCTCTCTCGCCGTGTCTCACCCTCTCTCGCCCTCTCTCGCCGCCCCTCGCCCTCTCTCGCCGTGTCTCGCCCTCTCTCGCCGTGTCTTGCCCTCTCTCGCCGCCCCTCGCCGTGTCTCGCCCTCTCTCGCCGTGTCTCACCCTCTCTCGCCGCCCCTCGCCCTCTCTCGCCGTGTCTCGCCCTCTCTCGCCGTGTCTCGCCCTCTCTCGCCGCAACTCTCCGTCGTAAATAACAATGATAACTCCATAAATTAAAATCTCGGCCAAAAGGAGTGAAAAATTCATTGAAACATTTAGAAAAGTGACGGTCTGAGCTCTGGGTGGAGGACCATGAAGAGCCTCCAGAGATAGAGCAGAGAGAGAGAGACCAAAAGGAAACCAGAGAGAGAGACCAAAAGGAAACCAGAGAGAGACCAGAGAGAGAGACCAGGGAGAGACCAGAGAGAGAGAGACCAGAGAGAGACCAGAGAGAGACCAGAGAGAGACCAGAGAGAGACCAGAGAAAGACCAGAGAGAGACCAGAGAGAGACCAGAGAGAGACTAGAGAGAGACCAGAGAGAGACTAGAGAGAGACTAGCGAGAGACCAGAGAGAGACCAGAGAGAGACTAGAGAGAGACTAGCGAGAGACCAGAGAGAGACCAGAGAGAGAGACCAGAGAGAGACCAGAGAGAGACCAGAGAGAGAGACCAGAGAGAGAGACTAGAGAGAGACCAGAGAGAGACTAGCGAGAGACTAGCGAGAGACCAGAGAGAGACCAGAGAGAGACCAGAGAGAGAGACCAGAGAGAGACCAGAGAGAGACCAGAGAGAGACCAGAGAGAGACCAGAGAGAGACCAGAGAGAGAACAGAGAGAGACCAGGGAGAGACCAGAGAGAGAGAGACCAGAGAGAGACCAGAGAGAGACCAGAGAGAGACCAGAGAGAGACCAGAGAAAGACCAGAGAGGTCAGAGAGAGACCAGAGAGAGACCAGAGAGAGACTAGAGAGAGACCAGAGAGAGACTAGAGAGAGACTAGCGAGAGACCAGAGAGAGACCAGAGAGAGACTAGAGAGAGACTAGCGAGAGACCAGAGAGAGACCAGAGAGAGAGACCAGAGAGAGACCAGAGAGAGACCAGAGAGAGACCAGAGAGAGAGACTAGAGAGAGACCAGAGAGAGACTAGCGAGAGACCAGAGAGAGACCAGAGAGAGACTAGAGAGAGACTAGCGAGAGACCAGAGAGAGACCAGAGAGAGAGACCAGAGAGAGACCAGAGAGAGACCAGAGAGAGACCAGAGAGAGAGACTAGAGAGAGACCAGAGAGAGACCAGAGAGAGACTAGCGAGAGACCAGAGAGAGACCAGAGAGAGACCAGAGAGAGAGACCAGAGAGAGACCAGAGAGAGACCAGAGAGAGACCAGAGAGAGAGACCAGAGAGAGACCAGAGAGAGACCGGAGAGAGACCAGAGAGAGACCAGAGAGAGACCAGAGAGAGACCAGAGAGAGAGACCAGAGAGAGACCAGAGAGAGACCAGAGAGACCAGAGAGAGAGACCAGAGAGAGACCAGAGAGAGACCAGAGAGAGGCCAGAGAGAGACCAGAGAGACACCAGAGAGAGAGACCAGAGAGACCAGAGAGAGAGACCAGAGAGACCAGAGAGAGACCAGAGAGAGAGACCAGAGAGACCAGAGAGAGACCAGAGAGAGACCAGAGAGAGACCAGAGAGAGACTAGCGAGAGACCAGAGAGAGACCAGAGAGAGACCAGAGAGAGACCAGAGAGAGACCAGAGAGAGACCAGAGAGAGACCAAAGAGAGACCAGAGAGAGAGACCAGAGAGAGACCAGAGAGAGACCAGAGAGAGAGACCAGAGAGAGAGACCAGAGAGAGACCAGAGAGAGAGACCAGAGAGACCAGAGAGAGACCAGAGAGAGACCAGAGAGAGACCAGAGAGAGACTAGCGAGAGACCAGAGAGAGACCAGAGAGAGACTAGCGAGAGACCAGAGAGAGACCAGAGAGAGACCAGAGAGAGACCAGAGAGAGAGACCAGAGAGAGACCAGAGAGAGAGACCAGAGAGAGACCAGAGAGAGAGACCAGAGAGAGACCAGAGAGAGACCAGAGAGAGACCAGAGAGAGACCAGAGAGAGAGACCAGAGAGAGACCAGAGAGAGAGACTAGAGAGAGACTAGCGAGAGACCAGAGAGAGACCAGAGAGAGACCAGAGAGAGACCAGAGAGAGAGACCAGAGAGAGACCAGAGAGAGAGACCAGAGAGAGACCAGAGAGAGACCAGAGAGAGAGACCAGAGAGGGACCACAGGAGCCACTGGTCCACGGGGAGCGGGACGACCAGTTTACACTTACATCTACATCTTCCACTTTCACATTTAAAGATCAGCTTTTTCACACAGAGAAGTAAAAAAGAGAGGACCTCCCCACTCGGCCAATCAGCTCTCAGCCCAGAGAGGCAGATATAATAACCATTTCCACAACATTGCACTTTTAAAGGACTGTAGGAACAAACAAATGTATTATTCATAACCAGTCTGTCCTTCCTGCTGCTGTCAGACTGTACGACGAACAACAAGGACTAACAAGCACTCACATCTCGTGAATCCGTGCAATAATAATTTGAAAACTAGATTCTTTATTATGCTAAAGCTAGAGATTTTATACTAGCTTCTTTATTATGCTAAAGCTAGAGATTTTATACTAGCTTCTTTATTATGCTAAAGCTAGAGATTTTATGCTAGCTTCTTTATTATGCTAAAGCTACAGATTTTATACTAGCTTCTTTATTATGCTAAAGCTACAGATTTTATACTAGCTTCTTTATTATGCTAAAGCTACAGATTTTATACTAGCTTCTTTATTATGCTAAAGATAGAGATCAAAAATGAGTAAGAATAGTTATAAATCACTTTCCGCCTGTGCTTCTGTGTGGTGTGTTTGCGTCGTGTTTGCTCTTACCTTGGCTGAAGGTGGCGATGGAGTTGTTCCCTTGTCTCGTGTTGATGATGTCACCGTGTTTGGGTTGAAGCGTGATGCGAAACAGCAGCGACTCCGGAGCGCTGTCTCTGTCCACGGCCTTCAGAACCTTCGGGCTCAGAGGGAACCCCAAGCGTCCCGTCGGCAGAATCTTCAACGCCGTCGCGCCTTTATTCACCACGATCTGCGGCGCCCCGTTGTCCAGCCCCACGATCGTTATCCTCATCGTCTGCGGTTTCCTCGTCTCAAAAACGGTATCGGGGAAAACGTAGAAGTCCGTGTGCGTGCCGTCGGTGATGGTGAACGAGAAAGAGTCTTGGGAGGATTCGGTGCCGTCGTGTTTGTAACTGATCAGATTCTCGTTCAGGTCTTGTTTGGTGAAGCTAGCGACAGGCGAGCTCTGGTTGTACAGCAGCTTCCCGTGGACAGGAAGTTGAGTTATTGTGAATTTTAATTTCTTTTCTGGCGTGTCTTGATCCTCGGCGGTCAATTCAAAAGGCGTGATCAGTTTGCTCTGGCCTTCGCTGACTAGCAACACGTTTATGGTAACGACGGGTTTTTTGTTATCGACGTCAACAATAGAAATACGGAAAGTCCTGAATATGGGATTGTAGCCGTCCGTGACCTCGAACTCAAAACTGTCCATTTTGATCTCGTCGTCCGAAGTGTGGATGTAGTAGACTTTGCTGCCGGCGAGTTGCAGCTGTGTGAAGGAGGCGATGGGGACCCCCGGCCGGTCGGTGCACTCCAGGTGGCCTCTCACTGGGGCTCTGGTCACCGTGAACACCAGGTTCTCGTCTGGGCTGTTCATGTCGGTGGTGCTGAGGAGGTTCGTGGTCAAAGTCACTCTCCCGCCTTCTTTCAGCGACACGCCTTTGCTAACGACATCCGGGAAAACCATGTCGATGCTGCCGATGGTGACGTAGAAGTAGCGGTCGATCAGCGGGTTCATGCCATCCGTGACGTCAAACTTCACCAGATCTCGAATGCCTTCCTGTCCGTTGTGGGTGTAGCTGATCAAACCTGCGTCGATGTTTTCTTGTGTGAAATTCATCCCGACTGTGATGTTTTGCAAAGAGCCAGAGGGCGTTCTTCTCTGCAGTAAGCCCTGGCCAGGCCCGAATCGGACAATGTAAGTGAGCGAGCTGTCGTCTGAGTCCAAATCCGTGGCTTTGAGCACGTTGCTGCCGATGCCTTTGGTCTCGCCGACCTCCACCTCCAACCCGTCGTTAATGAGCATTCTCGGGGTTTCGTCGTCAACGGATACTATCATGACGACAGCGGTTTTGTGCACAGAGTACTTCCCGTCCGACAGAACCACCTCAAAGCTGTCCTCTGTCGTCTCTGAGTCGTCGTGTTCATAAATGATGCTGGACGCTTCACGGATCTGCTCCAGGGTGAAGTTGGTGACCGGGACGGAGCCGGTGGAGAGCTGGTTCAAGATGGCGCCGTGTTTGGGAGGTTTGGAGACGGTGAAGACGAGTTCTTCCGCCGGGACGTCCATGTCGCCACCGTTCAGAAGAGGCGTGTCGATTACAATGTTCATGCCTTCCATGACCACGATCTCGCGCAGGTAGATCTCCGGTTTCTCGTCATTGGCTGGAATTATGACAATTGGGAATAAGTGGTTTTCAGAGAAGTTGACGCCATCGGAGCAAGTGAACGTAAATCTATCTTCCACCGGCTCCACCCCTTTGTGGATACTCTGCACGTAGTAAATATTGCTTTCTCTAATGTCTCTTATGGTGAACGCGCTTATGGCTGTTCCTGATCTAGACTTTTCCGATCCGGGAGCAGGAGAGATGTTCTCCACGTACCCCGCCTTGGGTTGGACTACGATAGTGCAGAGTATGTCTTCTGAGGGCGTGTCGCTGTCGTCTGCGTTTAGATGCTGAGGTCCGATGGCGTATTTCTCACCTTCGATCACACTGAACTGCTCTCCCACGCCCACTTCAGGAGGCTGGCTGTCCACGGGTAAAACAGTGATTCTGACCTGGACTCCGTTGACTTTATTCCCTCCGACGGTCCAGTCCTCAGACATGTCCGTGAGCGTTAGATTAAAACCGTCTTGTTGCGAGGTTAAGCCGATCTCCCCACCAGTGTGCGCATACACAACTAACCCGTTGATAATGTCGGCTTGTGTGAATCTATTCGCCGGAACGCCTTTGACTAGAATCTCCCCCGCGGCGGGAGGGTCTTCCACGATAAACGTTAGCTGCAGATCGTCTGTGTCATCGTCGTGGCCTTGGATTACGTTTGTTGTTATTTCAGTAGCGGCATTTTCCAACACGTCCATGTGAGAGCCGATTGTTCCCGCTGGTAAACTGACCGTGGGGGTTTCGTCATCAATGGGTCTGACCCCAATTCTGACCGTCACCGTCACCACGTGCATTCCATCGCTCACGTCCACCTGGAACTCGTCCGCCAGCGTCTCCTCGCCGTTGTGAAAGTACGATATCTTTCTTTGGATTATGTCTTCGAGCCTGAAAACAGCTTTCAATCCCAGGTCTGAAAAATCACGTTGGATTTGTCCGTGTTGTGGAAGTTTACTTACGGTGAAGGTGATGTGCTGGAGCTCGGTGTCGGGGTCAGAGGCGTCCAGCTCGGCAGCAGTGATGACGTGCGAGCCTCTCTCCAGCACCGTGAAGCCGGTGTTGGTGATCTGCGGAGGCTTGTTGTTCACAGGTTGAAGGTAAATAGTGAACGTTCCTTCTACCGTGTTGCCAGATGTGTCTTCCACTGAATACTTGAACTGCACAACGTGAGCCGTGATGCCCAGCTCCACGTCCGGCGGCGCATACGAGACTTTGTGGTGATTCACTTGAGCCTGCGTGAACTCTCTGACTTCGGTCCCAGGGCTGTCACTCAGGACTAAAGAACCAAACAGAACCGGGTTGTTCTCGTCCATGTCTGTGGGAGGTTGAGTGACTGTGTATTTGAGGTCTCGGTCCTCGGAGTCCAGATCGGTGTAGCGTAAAACGTCCTTACTGAAGTGTGTGAGTTTGTATTCCTGAACCGTCATTTGCAAAGTGGTGCCAGGGAAAAGCTCTGGGGGAACGTCGTCTATGGGTAAAACTCGGACTAAAAACACGCTCTCCCCGGATTGGTTGGGTGGGTCGTTGTCGTCCTGGACCGTGAAGAGAAACTGGTCCATGATGGTGTCTGTGGTGTGTGGCCCAACGTGCTTATAAAACAGCTTCCCGTCAGTAATGTCCTTCTGGAGCCACTCTTTCACTTCCTTCTCATACATCTCATCCTCAGAGTTGAACTTCCAGGACGAGGGGTCCTCCGGGGCATCTGACTGTCGGAGCAGCACCGTCCCGATCGAGGAAAAGGGAGAAACGACCGTGAACTTAATCGTGGAATCTTCCGAGTCGATATCTGCGGCACTTAACATCAGAGGAGAGATCGGCATTATTTGGTTTTTGAATAAAACTAAACCCGTGTTGGCGTTAATAATCGGGGGCTCGTCGTCTGTCGGGACGATGGTGATGGGGAACAGAAACTCTACTTCGTGTTTTCCGTCTGTCATTTTAAACACAATATTGTCGCTGTATGTGTCGCTGCCGTCGTGCTGGTAAACCACTGCCCCCGTGGTGAGGTCGGCGGCGGTGAAAAAGGTCCTGTCTGAGCCCAACACCAGCAGAGCCCCATGCTTTAAACCATCCACCACTGTCAGAGTCACCATGTCCAGGTTATCCTCATCACTGATCTCTAAGTTCTGAGCCGTGAACAGAGGTCTGGACTGGCCTTCGTACAGCAGCTGCCCCGTGTTCCTGGTCACGACAGGAGCCAGATTGTTCATCGGCTTCACCACAATCATAAACGCAAACGAGTCTGAGATGGCTCCGTCTGTGTCCACGATCTCAAACTCCACCTGAAATATCCGCTCCGTGTCCGAGTCCAGGGATGGAGGTTTGTAGGCGATCTTCAGGTCACGCAGGTCTCTCTGGTAGAAGGAGGTGATGGGTAAGTTTCTGTCGTCTGTGCTCACGATGTAGCCCTCCTCATAGGACAGAGGAGACGTGATGTTGAATATTAACTCGTCTGGGTTTGACTCTGCGTCTTCGGCCGCGAGCATGTCGGAGGTGAGGGCTGTCATCACAAACTGGCCGACCTCCATCATCATCATGGACACGAAGCTGGGGTTGGGGGCCGTGTTCTCCTGCCCTTCTCTGATGCGCACCATCAGATGAAAGTACTCCTGCTTCAGCGGGTTTCCCTCCAGGTCGTGCAGCTCCACCACCATCGGCACGTAGTCTCTGTTGGGGGGTCTGCGCTCGGACGTGTGCGCGTAGCTGATGCCTGCGCTCGTAAACTCGTCACAGTCCATCATGGAAGAAAGTTTCCCCGCGTCCAGGAGAGTCCCGTATCTGGGCAGCCCGCTCCCCCCGGACAGTGACGTCACTTCACATTTGTACAAGTCTCTGTCATAAGTAAACTCCACTGTTCTCCTGTCGATGCTGTTGCTTTTGCCCCGGAGCGTGTCTACAGTGAGAGGCATGTTTTTGGTGAGGAGCTCCAGCTGCGTAAAGACCACCTCCACCTCCATCATAAACGGGATAATCACGGTCTCAGTCTGAGTGTCGTACCTGAGCTGCAGCTTCACTCGGTCTCTGGTGGGACTGCGGGAGCCGAAGTGGGAATACACCACGTCATTGGGACCGAAATCACAGGGAAACTTTTTGGGAGAGAGATGCCCGGGTCTCTGGGAGAGCGGGTCGTTGTCCAGGACCGTGATGCTGCACCTGTCCCCCGGCTGCGTCTGGATGACCAGGTCGTTGATGGGGTCGATGTAGACGGACCTCCCGAACGGTGCACGGATCCCGTTATTGGCTACGAGGATCGCGTCCTCTGACAGCTCGGAGCGGAGCGCGTAAAACAGCCCGTCACTGTCCGCGGGAGGAGACACCAGCGCGGTCACGGAGCCGCACAGCAGAACCATCAGAACCATGAGGCGCCACATGGTTACACAAAGAAGACTGTTTGTAAAAGATCAGAGGGAGAGCTCCATGTGGGGTCCGCAGCCTCCACTCTCTCTGTGATGATGTGACAGAGGAGGCAGCTTAACTTCAGGTAGACGCGCAGGGAGAGAGCAGCCGCCCCCCTCGGCTCTTATTGGAGGGATTTGGAGGGTCTGACCCCCCTCCCTCCGGGCATGAGGCCAATCAGCGTGCGGCGTTCTCAGGGGGCGGGGCTAGAGGATGATAGTGCTGATGATGGAGAGATGAAAGTTACCTCCCAACAGCTCTGTAAAAGTTTAGGAGGGGGGAGGAGGAGGAGGGGGAGGAGGAGAAGGAGGAGAAGGGGGAGGAGGAGCAGGAGGAGGGGGAGGAGGAGGAGGAGGGGGAGGAGGAGGAGGGGGAGGAGGAGAAGGAGGAGAAGGGGGAGGAGGAGAAGGAGGAGAAGGGGGAGGAGGAGCAGGAGGAGGAGGAGGAGGAGGAGGAGGGGGGGGAGGAGGAGAAGGAGGAGAAGGAGGAGGGGGGAGGAGGAGGAGGAGGGGGAGGAGGAGGAGGGGGAGGGAGGAGCAGGAGGAGGGGGAGGAGGAGGAGGAGGGGGAGGAGGAGGAGGGGGAGGAGGAGAAGGAGGAGAAGGGGGGGAGGAGGAGAAGGAGGAGAAGGGGAGGAGGAGCAGGAGGAGGAGGAGGAGGAGGAGGGAGGAGGGAGGAGGAGGAGGAGGAGGAGAGAGAAGGAGGAGGAGGAGGAGGAGGAGGAGGGAGGAGGAGGAGGGAGGAGGAGGAGGGGAGAGAGGAGGAGGAGGAGGGGGAGGAGGGAGGAGGGGGGGAGGAGGAGGAGGAGGAGGAGGGGGAGGAGGGAGGGGGAGGAGGAGAGGAGAGAAGGGGGAGGAGGAGGGGGAGGAGGAGGAGGGGGAGGAGGAGAGAGGAGGAGAAGGGGGGGAGGGAGGGAGGAAGGAGGGAGGGGAGGAGGAGCAGGAGGAGGAGGGGGAGGGAGGGGAGGAGCTGGAGGAGGAGAAGGAGGAGGAGGGGGAGGAGGGGGAGGGGAGGGGGAGGAGGAGAAGGAGGAGGAGGGGGAGGAGGAGAGGAGGGGGAGGAGGAGGAGGAGGAGAAGGGGAGGGGAGGAGGAGGAGGAGGAGGAGGAGGGGAGGGAGGGGAGGAGGAGGAGAAGGGGGGGAGGAGGAGGAGGAGGGAGGGGAGGAGGAGAGAGGAGCGAGAAGGAGGGGGAGGGAGGGAGGCAGGGGAGAGAGGAGCGAGAAGGAGGGGGAGGGAGGGAGGTAGGGAGGGAGGGAGGTAGGGAGGGGAGGAGAGGAGCGAGAAGGAGGGGGGAGGTAAATATCAGAGAAACATTAATGCATGAAAAAGATGTATTTGTTTGGTGCAGTGATCCCGGCAGGAGCCAGAGGAGGAGCCAGAGGAGGAGCCAGAGGAGGAGCCAGAGGAGGAGCCAGAGGAGGAGCCAGAGCAGGAGCCAGAGCAGGAGCCAGAGGAGGAGCCAGAGGAGGAGCCAGAGGAGGAGCCAGAGCAGGAGCCAGAGGAGGAGCCAGAGGAGGAGCCAGAGGAGGAGCCAGAGCAGGAGCCAGAGCAGGAGCCAGAGCAGGAGCCAGAGGAGGAGCCAGAGGAGGAGCCAGAGGAGGAGCCAGAGCAGGAGCCAGAGGAGGAGCCAGAGGAGGAGCCCCAGAGGAGGAGCCAGAGGAGGAGCCAGAGCAGGAGCCAGGAGCTGTAGGAGGTTGATTGGCTGAGGCCGGCAGAGCTGTGTGATTGGCTGAGGCTGGACGGGTGAGAGCTGTGGCTGGTCTTTCAGTCTGAATTTGCGCTTCAGCTTCATAAGTACGCTGTGGGGGAGGAGGGGGAGGAGGGGGAGGAGGGGGAGACTCCACCGCTCTGCTGGTGTGAGTCACAGGGGTCGCTGTGGGGGAGGAGGGGGAGGAGGGGGAGACTCACCGCTCTGCTGGTGTGAGTCACAGGGGTCGCAGTGGGGGAGGAGGGGGAGGAGGGGGAGACTCACCGCTCTGCTGGTGTGAGTCACAGGGGTCGCTGTGGGGGAGGAGGGGGAGGAGGGGGAGACTCACCGCTCTGCTGGTGTGAGTCACAGGGGTCGCTGTGGGGGAGGAGGGGAGAGGAGGGGGAGACTCACCGCTCTGCTGGTGTGAGTCACAGGGGTCGCTGTGGGGGAGGAGGGGGAGGAGGGGGAGACTCACCGCTCTGCTGGTGTGAGTCACAGGGGTCGCTGTGGGGGAGGAGGGGGAGGAGGGGGAGACTCACCGCTCTGCTGGTGTGAGTCACAGGGGTCGCTGTGGGGGAGGAGGGGGAGGAGGGGGAGACTCACCGCTCTGCTGGTGTGAGTCACAGGGGTCGCTGTGGGGGAGGAGGGGGAGGAGGGGGAGACTCACCGCTCTGCTGGTGTGAGTCACAGGGGTCGCTGTGGGGGAGGAGGGGGAGGAGGGGGAGACTCACCGCTCTGCTGGTGTGAGTCACAGGGGTCGCTGTGGGGGAGGAGGGGGAGACTCACCGCTCTGCTGGTGTGAGTCTCAGGGTCGCTGTGGGGGAGGAGGGGGAGGAGGGGGAGACTCACCGCTCTGCTGGTGTGAGTCACAGGGGTCGCTGTGGGGGAGGAGGGGGAGGAGGGGGAGACTCACCGCTCTGCTGGTGTGAGTCACAGGGGTCGCTGTGGGGGAGGAGGGGGAGGAGGGGGAGACTCACCGCTCTGCTGGTGTGAGTCACAGGGGTCGCTGTGGGGGAGGAGGGGGAGGAGGGGGAGACTCACCGCTCTGCTGGTGTGAGTCACAGGGGTCGCTGTGGGGGAGGAGGGGGAGGAGGGGGAGACTCACCGCTCTGCTGGTGTGAGGTCACAGGGGTCGCTGTGGGGGAGGAGGGGGGAGGAGGGGGAGACTCACCGCTCTGCTGGTGTGAGTCACAGGGGTCGCTGTGGGGGAGGAGGGGGGGGAGGAGGGGGAGACTCACCCGCTCTGCTGGTGTGAGTCACAGGGGTCGCTGTGGGGGAGGAGGGGGAGGAGGGGGAGACTCACCGCTCTGCTGGTGTGAGTCACAGGGGTCGCTGTGGGGGGGGAGGAGGGGGAGGAGGGGGAGACTCACCGCTCTGCTGGTGTGAGTCACAGGGGTCGCTGTGGGGGAGGAGGGGGGAGGAGGGGGAGACTCACCGCTCTGCTGGTGTGAGTCACAGGGGTCGCTGTGGGGGAGGAGGGGGAGGAGGGGGAGACTCACCGCTCTGCTGGTGTGAGTCACAGGGGTCGCTGTGGGGGAGGAGGGGGAGGAGGGGGGAGACTCACCGCTCTGCTGGTGTGAGTCACAGGGGTCGCTGTGGGGGAGGAGGGGGAGGCTGGAGCTGCATCCTGACGACAGCTTCCAGGAGTTCCCAAACAGCTGAGGTGTGCTCTCCACCATCCCAGAAGGAGACCTGCAGGAGGGGAGGGGATCAGACCGAACCGGACCAGACCAGGATCAGAATCCACCCCGAACCTGACCCCAGACCAGGAGCAGAACCACCCCGGACCACACCTAGACCAGGAGCAGAACCACCCCAAACCGGACCCAGACCAGGAGCAGAACCACCCCGGACCACACCTAGACCAGGAGCAGAACCACCCCAAACCGGACCCAGACCAGGAGCAGAAACACCCCGAACCGGACCCAGACCAGGATCAGAACCACCCCGAACCCAGACCCAGACCAGGAGCAGAACCATCCCGGTACCACCACCAGACCAGGAGCAGAACCACCTTGAACCAGACCCAGACCAGGAGTAGAACAGACTCTCATCAAAGTGTGATAGAAAAGACCAGAGAGAGACTAGAGAGAGAGACCAGAGAGGGACCAGAGAGAGACCAGAGAGAGACCAGAGAGAGACCAGAGAGAGAGACCAGAGAGAGACCAGAGAGAGAGGCAGAGAGAGACCAGAGAGAGAGACCAGAGAGAGACCAGAGAGAGTAGACCAGAGAGAGACCAGAGAGAGACACCAGAGAGAGACCAGAGAGAGACCAGAGAGAGACCAGAGAGACGGACCAGAGAGAGTACACCAGAGAGAGACCAGAGAGAGACCAGAGAGAGACCAGAGAGAGACTAGAGAGAGAGACCAGAGAGGGACCAGAGAGAGGACCAGAGAGGGACCAGAGAGAGACCAGAGAGGGACCAGAGAGAGACCACGAGAGAGACTAGAGAGAGAGACCAGAGAGGGACCAGAGAGAGACCAGAGAGAGACCAGAGAGAGGACACCAGAGAGAGGACCAGAGAGAGACCAGAGAGAGACCAGAGAGAGACTAGAGAGAGAGAGACCAGAGAGGGACCAGAGAGAGACCAGAGAGGGACCAGAGAGAGACCAGAGAGGGACCAGAGAGAGACACAGCAGTGTTTTATATAAAGTACTGCAGTGTTTTATATAAAGTACTGCAGTGTTTTATATAAAGTACTGCAGTGTGTTGCTTCCAATCTGAAAGTGTGTTCACATGATGCATGTGTGTGTCATTTTGTCCTCAGCGTTTCATTTTGACAAATGATTGTTTATTTTTGAGAGCAGAGTTTGAGTTTTGATAAAGGAGTTTGATTTTGAGACAGATGTGTCTGGTTTATGTCCCAGTGTGTGTCAGATCATCTTGTGTTTAGAGTTTTGGGACTATGAGCGAAATTTTGCAAAATGTGTTCAGGCAACAGGAAAAAACTGTAACGAGATACAAACAATTATTCAAAGAAAAGAAAGAAAATATTCATCTGATCCTCTCCAGACGTTCACACACAGACACACACACACAGACACACACACACACACACACACACACACAGACACACACACACACACACACACACACACACACACAGACACACACACACACACACACACACACACACACACACACACACACACACAGACACACACAGACACACACACACACACACACACACAGACAGACAAACAGACACACACAGACACACACACACACACACACACACACAGACACACACACACACACACACACACACACACACACACACACACAGACACACACACACACACACACACACACACACACAGACAGACAGACACACACACACACACACAGACACACACACAGACAGACACACACACAGACAGACACACACACACACACAGACACACACACACACACACAGACACACACACACACAGACAGACAGACACACACACACAGACACACACACACACACACAGACAGACAAACAGACACACACAGACACACACACACACAGACATTAACACAGACTCAGGTCTTCGGACCAACAGACTCAGGAAACAGACTCAGGTCTTCGGACCGACAGACTCAGGTATCAGAATCATGCCTTCGGGCCGACAGACTCAGGTCTTCGGACCGACAAACTCAGGTCTTCGGACTGACAGACTCATGCCTTCGGACCGACAGACTCAGGCCTTCGGACCGACAGACTCAGGCCTTCGGACCGACAGACAGGTTTACGACTTAATGCTGGCGGCTGCTTGTTTTTTAATTGATTTTAAAGTCTTCTCCTTAAAGAGCCATTACTGCATTATTAGACTCTGAAGTCCAGACCGGAACCGGCTGCTGACTCACTGCACTGATCCAGACCCAGACCCAGACCTGGACCCATGTCCCGGACCAAGACCAAGACCAAGACCCGAACCAGGACTCCGAAGACCTGCAGTGATCCACCAGTCCTGGTTCAGTTCAAAGTACTTTATGTACTGCCTCAGAGTACTTGATGTACTGCCTCAGAGTACTTGATGTACTGCCTCAGAGTACTTGATGTACTGCCTCAGAGTACTTTATATACCTCCTCAGAGTACTTTATGTACTGCCTCAGAGTACTTGATGTACTGCCTCAGAGTACTTTATATACCTCCTCAGAGTACTTGATGTACTGCCTCAGAGTACTTTATGTACTGCCTCAG